ATAAATATGGCTGCAGACAAATAGAGCATATATCATGGTGTAGTATTTCTTTGTTAATATTCTCCCTTCCTATGTGGAGCTCATTAACAACTGGATTGTTACATGTAATGAGTTTTATATTTCACTGTTCTTCATAATACTACTAGAAATTCAAATTTACGGCAAGACTGACTGTATAGGCACCATACACCTAGCATAAACAGTGCGAAATCAGGAAACCGCAAGTGTGTTGTCCGAAAAAATGAGTTGTAGTAGACATATCTACCAATCTTAGCAGGTAAGGCACTAAAGCAAACATGGATTATAAGAAACCAAAAAAGAACAATGAACCACTGGCTTCTTTATTTTATTTTATTTTTAGTTTATTGCAAGCAATCTTGAACATCTTCGTCTTTCTATTTTGAGGGTCGCAAAAGTGTAAAAATACGCTCAGACCACTGATTTCGATTCAATGTTATCTATAATCTGTAGCACCTCTATCCAACAACAATCTGAATTTTCGTAGCACTAGTTATCAAAAACAAAAGCGTGAGCCATGAGGTGTTCGGATGGGCCAAGTTTCGCAGTCGCCGAGTAACACAACACGTACCGTTGAGTTACACACATGACCCTTCAGTGAAAGAAACACTAGCATCAGAAATGTCGTAGGTTAGCAAACGCCAATCTTGCTTGATTACGCATCGAGAGATTCTTTCACCACACCCCTGCCAGACTTTTAAAACCCTCGAGATAGATACAGCTTTCAACTATTTACAACACCTCATTACCCGAAAAGAGCGCCGGTACAGGCTCTGGCCGATCTTGCAGAAACTAATTGTACTTTAAACGTGCAAAGCACATGCCATGTCGAGTGATCTCAATGGCTAAGTGGCTTAACGCGTCGTGCATCGCCTGTCTTGTCACCGCGCAAAGCAATATCATCAGCGTAGTCCAAGTCTACATCTCTGCCACTAAGAAGGAGACTGATACCAAAGTTTTCTCAGTTTAAAAACGCTTTTGTAAGAGAAAGCGATAGCAAAGTCGAAGAGAGATGTAAACAACTGTTGGCGGGAAATGCGAATAAACTTTACGATAATACTTATCCTTATCTCAGGTCTATCCGTACAGTGATTTAGGGAACACAGCATACTTCTTACGTACTCAGAATATCAGCAAACAGTTAAAGAGATAAGTAATCCCTGAGCTGAAGGTGATTTACGTGTCCAGAAACACGACAATGGTTTTCACCCTTATGCGTAGCAGTGTTCCAACAGCAGACAGAAGATGAAGACTTGGTCCATGTAACCGGGGCTTGCAAAGAACCCAAACTCCTCTATGTGAATTTACCCTTCGGGAATCAAAGTAAATTTGTCAACATCAGAATCAGACCACTGCCTCAGTTGTTGAAACTGTGATCTACTTGACCGACTTGACAAAAATTGTAATCATCTTCCCGTACAGGAGGTACAAATTCTCCCTGCTAGATCTTGGAAAACAGTCTGATAAAAGCTCTCACGAGAAGTTATCTGATCTGGACACAAAAGCTGCTTTTGTGAGCCACTCCCAGGATAGGGAATAGAGAGAACTTTTGGGAACTCTTCGGCGTAGCCAGCGCGAAAGGCAGATTGGACAGTGAAGTGACGTGCTCTGCTTAGAGTTCCAAGTATAGATACTTCATAATGGTGCTTCATCTATTTCCCAGACTTTTTATCGGTAACGCAGCCTTTTGGGGCTAGTAGCAGTAGTATTAGTATTAGTAGTAGTAGTAGTAGTAGTAGTAGTAGTAGTAGCAGTTGGAACAACCGTCGAGTATTCCCGGACGTGACAGTTGATTCCGTCTCATTCGCGAGTGGCATCCATCAAGCTTCTCAGTCATATCTGAAGTTCTTTCAAAATTCTCGCTTCAAAGAGAGGCGTCGTTCATTGTACTGACTGTTTGCCGGGATTGTTCGATGGGCGTTAGTTCTGAGAGAGCCTGAGGATTAGGTTACAACTGTGCAAATCGGCTGAGTGCATTCTGGCCTGGAGGATTTCCCAGCATTGTTTTGCACTCTTTCGTGGGGTAGTAGCTAACCTCATGGCTAACTCGCTTTGATAGTCGATTGACACGGCCGGGTCAGAAACCTTGAAAATGTCGAGTAGTTAGAACCTAAGCACGCAGACCAGTACAAACAAGTCTTTCCTACACATACACACACGCCATCTGCAGCTGATTATTACGTGATCAACTAGAGTCCTCGGCTCTGACGGTGAGAGCTTACGTCAAGTGGTTAAGTGATACTTCGGGTGTCTGAAGTTCATAATGATGAGAAATCGGGGAGTCAATCAATTAAACTCACTGTAACGAATACATCTCTCCAGAACAAAGCCATTGTGAAACATTGTCTGCGTATAAGCATAACGCAAAAGTTGTGAATAGATAAATCATCTATTTCTACATTCTCGCAACTTAACTTGTGCCTGAGTCTTGATCTTCTGTAGCATCATATATTAAGACAAACAGTCCCTGAATGCCGTCACCAACAGCCTTACTCGCATAAAGTAAAGCATTCCGAATATGCCCGAGATCCATTTATAATACAAATACTAGCACTACAAACTAATACCAAGGCTTTCATCCCCATACAAAACTATGAGGATAGGCATTTTTGTTGAAC